ATGGTGTGGAATTTGCACTAAAAACGCTACAATTTACGCACCGCATCAGTGTGAACCAGGGCTGAACCACCTTTCACTTGCCATTACAGCCAGATTCTATTTCACTAACCTATCAGATCTGCAGGCTGAGTGAAATGTTTCTAGCCTTTTTTTAGTCTCTTCCTTTCAGTCTCAGACTTTATTATTTTCTCTTTTATTTTCTTCATGAATTAATTACCTGTGCATAAATGTTCTTTATAGCATTTGTATATTCATGTACGTATAGTTATTTTTTCATAATTTGAAAGCACATAAAATGGCTGATTGATGAATTAATTGATTCAGAGCACCACAGTACTAACACTTAAGTCACCGTACTTAGCAAAAATAAATGAATCATGACCTTTTAACCGCTTGCCGACCGCCCTATAGCAGAAATACTGCTACAGGGCAGCAGCGGTGCACAAAATCATATATATATATATATATATATATATATATATATATATATATATATGTGTGTGTGTGATTTTGCATCTCCGGGTTAGGGGGCGCATGCGTGAGCCAAGTCAGTTCCCCCCATTGTCAGAATGTCCGCCGCAGTCCCGCTATAAGTCTCTGATCACTGCCATTACTAGTAAAAATTAAAAAAAATTCCAGTGTATATATACCGCCATTTGTAAACGCTATAACTTTCACGCAAACCAATTAATTTATTGGCGATCAAATACCACCAAAAGAAAGCTCAATTCGTGGGAATAAAAGGATGTAAATTTCATTTGGGTTTTGCATGATCATGATTGTATATGAAGTGTATAAAGATGATTTTATATGGTTCTGACAAACATTAGCAATACTGTGATTTTCATCTAGCTGTGAGTGATTGTTATGTTAGAAATTATTATTTATATTTGATTATGTTTAAAAGATTATATGAAATTGAGTCCTGGGTCTAAGGCTGGTCATACATTATACAATTTTCTTTCAAAAATTGTTTTAGATTTACCAAAAACCATATAATATGAGGTCAAACCTAAACACTTTCAATTGTATCCAATTAAGCAGGCCCTTGCACTACATAGTTGAAGGTAAATCTAAAGGAAATTGGGCAGAAATTGTATAGTGTATGGCCAGCCTTACACTGGGTGATTCTTGGCATTTCTGAACAGCTTTAGGCTCCATGTACACGGGACGTTTGGAAAACACTTCTGAATGATAGAAACTGACTGCAGGAAAATGTAGGTTAAAAAACGTCTGTTTAGCCGCGTTTGCATACCGCGTTTATGCGCGTTTATGTTTAGAAGCGTTTTTTAAAGATAACCTCAGGAGACCTACCAAAATGCCCAGAATGCACTGAAAAACAGTAAATAATGTACTATTTTAGACATTTTGAGAGAAATAGAGAGAGCAGAAGCAGAGAGAGCAGTATTTGTTGAGATTAGCTGTATTTTTTTTTGTGATGTGTTCCAGCTCATTTCTGTGCAGAAATTACTGCAGCAGTGTCTAACAAATTTTCTTTCATGGAAAACCTAAAAGTATGGTGTACCGGGTCTATTTGAGTACTGGGAAAACGCTTTGAACACATTTTTCAAGATGAAAAAAGGCTCTGGACAGCATCTGGAAATGGAAGAGTTAAAAAAAATTTACAAACACAAACGCTTATAAATGCGGTTAGCCCCGTTTACAAGCGCTTGGTGTTTGAAACGTTGATAAAATCTACTCCTGAACGCAAGTTTGGTGCGTTCAAAAAAACTACTGTAAACTCCACTGCCTGTAATTGACTGTAAATGACACAGTGTACATGGACACATAGGAAAACATTAGGGAGAGTTCGGGGGCTGCTGAAAAAAAATGCAGAAAAGCTCCTAAACGTGAGTTTATCAGCTGCAGTGTACATAGAGCCTTACAGGTTTAAGGAGGGTTTAGTATCTCTTTAAGTTAAGTCCTGTCCCTGGGTGTGTAGAGTAGTTTTGTCTGTCTTGTTTCCTTATAAATCAGAATCTGGGTGGGTTGGGGCAAAAGGTTGATGAGAAGTGGTAACCTGCAGAGAACCATCATGTAGGTTACAGACTAGTGATGAAGTGCGCCCTTCAAGGTAGGCCTGGAGCAACCAAAAGGAGAATACCTTTGCAGAGAATCTACAGCAGAGGGATAGTGGAAATGCTGGTTGGCATCCCCTTGGTAAATTTGAATTTGCAACAAACTGTGTTGCAATTGTCTCATTGCAAGTAGGATTTCTTGCAAAGCTTTCTTGGAAATAACTTTGCACTCTGTTTATGAGTAAAATGTTTGTCTGATTATGAATAAAAAGGGGCTGATTGTGTGGACAATTGTTTATTTCACGAGGTGGGCCTCAGGCCAGGAGTACGTAAGTAGTGAAGATAGTAGAGTTCCTCCATAATACAGGTGCTTAGTACCCTGGTTCATTTCTATTGCAGGAGAACAATGGAAGGTGTCATTGGCCAGTATAATCATTCCCGGTGACAAATCAGGGCCCTTTTTACACTTGCCACAGTCGCGCAGGATGGGGTGCGTCACTGCCTGTGGAGGATGTGTCGGCTTTGTCAAAGAGGGCGTGGAAAGAGTAGTCAGAATGTGTGACCTGTGAGTAGGGGAACAGCGGTGGAACCTGAAAATGGTACTGAGAAAGGTTTTCACCCTATGCCATCATGGTGTGAGAGAAACACTGGTGCCTATCTACCTGCACTGCAAAAGCTGTCATGGCCCCATGGGCACATTGTGGAAGGTGTTGTTCCTTCATATTAGAGGTCCTCACAGATCATGAGGCACATTGGGACTTGATGTTGCCCTAGGAGGAGGATGCAACCTGGGAAGAAACCCAGTATGGTAAGGGAGATGCAGTGACTAGAGACAGGACTTCCAGGCTGTCCTGGACCCAGGCATTATTTTTTGAGTGAGCCATGGGCAGGCTCCTCCATTGCTACCAGGTTAAGTCCACCTACTGAGAGCCCATGATGACAGGATTGGAAGACACATCATCCCATCCTATAACAACCAGAGAGTAGGCTCTGAATGTGGTGGCAGATGTGGAAGTTGGTGCATCCTGTGCTACTCAGGTGTCTGAAGAGTCAGAACAAGAGAATAATACAGGAAGTCTTTTGGGACCATTGAGCAGAGTTCCAGAGGGGCGATATTCTCCTGTAGTTTGGCCAGAGACTGATGTGATGGAGTTGGAACTGCACCTCAGAGAGGGGACAGTGCCTAGTGATGCACACTTGGAGCATGGGGTGCAGTGTTGCCACAAGAGTGAGGAGTGGTCAATGCACAAGAGGATTCCTAACCTGTATGTGAGTGTTTGTGCCATGGTAATGGTTGAGGAGGTAGCCCAAGTGTGCCAAGGAGTCAGTGGAATTACCCACAATTGGCAGGTACCTAACTCATATCTGCCTCCTGGTAGGCAGGGTAGGCAGCATTTGACCTGGTTGTCTCGGCTGTAGAGATATTTTGCTTGCAAGGTGTGGGAGTGATATGGGGTGGAATTCCCATATCTCCTCAAGACATTTTTCCAGGTCATTGAAGTCGAAAGCCAGGGACTCTATGAGGCTGCTGTATGGAAACATATGACAGTGCCCACATCAATACACTCTCTGTTACCATTTAAGATGCCATGTTATAGGAATAACACTGTGTTGATCCGGCTGGGTGGTGACCTTCCCTACTATGTATACAAGCAGCAGCCTATTATATCTGAACTGGTTATGGTTGCTCTTGATATGCAAAGCTGCTGAAGTTTAAAGTGTGCCATAGTGTCACTGTTGTTTTTAGTGTTCTGCTGCACATATATATGTTTGTATGCTCTACTTTTCTATATATTACATTTCTGTATGTTTGGTGTTGGGGTAGAGCCACCAGCCTTTCAGAGTTGTGTTACCCATTGCATAAGGACATCCCATTGTTAAATGGGAGGTAATGACAGCAGGGGTTAGTACTCCTTTAAAGGAAGTCCTGCCTCTGGGTGTGACAACCTCAAGTAGGTTGAGCAGTCTTGCTCCCTTACACCCTGGTCACATCAAAGCTGATTTTGAAATTGTCCGACTTACAGTGAAGTTGCACGGGTGACTTACTGATTTGAGGTGTGATTTGCTAGACATCTGACACAAATGTTGTAATGGCTATGAAATGTGTTGGCCTTGGACCCGTTGTTTCTTGGGTAATGTTTACAATAAAGCATTGTTGCGCAAATACCAGGGGCATGAGAGGTGACGATGCCATTTCTTTAGCCAAAGGAACAGTGTCACAAGATACTCTGCTGAGGTCTAAAACCTTGTCTATGGAATGAACCATGTTTATGACATCTAGTAACCTCACATTAGGAGATAAAAACCTGTTTAAGGACATCTAACTTAGAAATCCTTAAGTCTGGGGGAGATGAAAAGAGGTTTTGGGGTAGATAAGAAGCAAAAGTGTGACTTTTTCAGATAACGAATATGGTGGTTGAACATGACTGTTATACTAGTGGAACCCTTCTGCTAGCCCCTCCCGTAGTGGGTATGGCACCGCCCACTATTGGACTGCTTCCAGAAAAAGGGTTTACAAGGCGAAGGTCTGGGCAAGACCAGTGGAAGCTCCCCTAGTGGCCAGAGGACACTCTGACGCTGGGATTTTTACCAAGGCTATATGGGCTCATCAACTGGTCGTGCCTATGGCTTCTCTGTGACCCCCTGGGCAGTTTGGTTTCAATGGGATTTGTTCCTCCCAGCTTCCACATAGCTTCGGTAATGTATTAATTCTATGCTGTGACATTGTCAAATGATGTGTTTATTTCTTGCTGTAATGCTCACAATATTAGTGGTGTGTGTTATTATGCAGATTGTGATGGCTATAAGATAAATCCTCCTGTGTGTCGTGTGATAATAAAAGTGGAGGTTTTGACAGTGCAAGAATTTTGCAGTTGGATTCTATTATTTCTTGGAGTGCCTGGTGAATGCTATGATGTGCCAGGGCAGGTATTCATTGGGTAGTTGGTCTTTCGCAATGCATAGAACCAGGGGCGGACTGACAACTCATGGGGCCCCCGGGCAATAGAGGATCATGGGGCCCCTGTGTCATTGCCCAAACTCAAAAAAGCCTATGAAAAAGGTACCAGGGGCATCTCATGTGGCCCCCTACTGACCCCGGGCCCTCGGGCAGTGCCCGAGTTTCCAAATGGTCAGTCCGCCCCTGCATAGAACATGTAATGGTTTAAATGCTGATTAAAAGTACCTGCATAACTGCATGTTGATTGTGTGTATGTACAGGTGAAACTCGAAAAATTAGAATATCGTGGAAAAGTTCATTTATTTCAGTAATGCAACTTAACAGGTGAAACTAATATATGAGATAGACTCATTACATGCAAAGCAAGATAGTTCAAGCCGTGATTTGTCATAATTGTGATGATTATGGCTTACAGCTCAGGAAAACCCCAAATCCACAATCTCAGAATATTGTGAAAAGGTGCAATATTCTCGGCTCAAAGTGTCCCACTCTAATCAGCTAATTAAGACATAACACCTGCAAAGGGTTCCTGAGCCTTTAAATGGTCTCTCAGTCTGGTTCAGTAGGAATCACAATCATGGGAAAAACTGCTGACCTGACAGTTGTGCAGAAAACCATCATTGACACCCTCCATAAGGAGGGAAAGCCTCAAAAGGTAATTGCAAAAGACGTTGGATGTTCCCAAAGTGCTGTATCAAAGCACATTAATAGAAAGTTATGTGGAAGGGAAAAGTGTGGAAGAAAAAGGTGCACAAGCAGCAGGGATGACCGCAGCCTGGAGAGGATTGTCAGGAAAAGGCCATTTAAAAGTGTTGGGGACTTTCACAAGGAGTGGACTGAGGCTGGAGTCAGTGCATCAAGAGCCACCACACACAGACGGATCCTGGACATGGGCTTCAAATGTCGTATTCCTCTTGTCAAGCCGCTCCTGAACAACAAACAACGTCAGAAGCGTCTTACCTCGGCTAAAGAAAAACAGACATGGTCTGTTGCCCTGTTGTCCAAAGTCCTCTTTTCTGATGAGAGCAACTTTTGCATCTCATTTGAAAACCAAGGACCCAGAGTATGGAGGAAGAATGGAGAGGCACACACTGCAAGATGCTTGAAGTCCAGTGTTAAGTTTCCACAGTCTGTGTTGATTTGGGGAGCCATGTCATCTGCTGGTGTTGGTCCACTGTGCTTCATTAAGTCCAGGGTCAACGTAGCCGTCTACCAGGAGATTTTGGAGCACTTCATGCTTCCTTCCGCAGAGGAGCTTTATGGGGATGCTGACTTCATTTTCCAGCAGGACTTGGCACCTGCCCACACTGCCAAAAGCACCAAAATCTGGTTCAATGACCGTGGGATTACTGTGCTTGATTGGCCAGCAAACTCGCCTGACCTGAACCCCACAGAGAATCTATGGGGCATTGCCAAGAGAAAGATGAGAGACATGAGACCGAACAATGCAGAAGAGCTGAAGGCCGCTATTGAAGCATCCTGGTCTTCCATAACACCTCAGCAGTGCCACAGGCTGATAGCTTCCATGCCAGGCCGCATTGAGGCAGTAATTGATGCAAAAGGGGCCCAAACCAAGTACTGAGTACATATGCATGCTTATACTTTTCAGAGGTCCGATATTGTTGTATGTACAATCCTTGTTTTATTGATTGCATGTAATATTCTAATTTTCTGAAATTGTGGATTTGGGGCTTTCCTGAGCTGTAAGCCATAATCATCACAATTATGACAAATCACAGCTTGAACTATCTTGCTTTGCATGTAATGAGTCTATCTCATATATTCGTTTCACCTTTTAAGTTGCATTACTGAAATAAATGAACTTTTGCACGATATTCTAATTTTTTGAGTTTCACTTGTATATGACTTGAGGAGAGGAGAGAGCAAGAGGAGAGAGCTGGTAGAAATTTCCTTGTTAAATTTTGAATTTGCAGGAAACTTTGTTTCAATTGTCTCAAGGGAAGAAGGATTTGTTGTATAACTTGACTGGAAATAACTTTGCACTCTGTTCATGTTCAGAGTAAAATGTTTGAAGCAGGGGCGGACTGACAACTCATGGGGCCCCCGGGCAATAGGGGATCATGGGGCCCCTGTGTCCTTGCCCAAACTCAAAAAAGACTATGAAAAAGGTACCAGGGGCATCTCATGGGGCCCCCTATTGACCCCGGGCCCTCGGGCAGTGCCCGAGTTTCGAAATGGTCAGTCCACCCCTGGTTTGAAGTGGCTGATGATGTGGGCAATCATTTATTTCACGCGATGGGTCTCAGGCCAGGAGTATGTGAATAGCCAAGATGGCAACTCACATACTCTGTGGACATTTTCTTACATTCTAAAGAGCAGCCAGTGAAGCAAAGTATTTGTTTTACTGCAGTGCCATCACTTCACATAGTACTGCTCTGGGACACTTAAAGTGAGACTAAATGATATCCTACTCACATCCACAATTTAATGGTTCTGTAATCTGTTTTTCATTAAATTGTTTCCTACTGAGTTTTTCTGCCTCATTAAAACATCCTCCCTGAGCTCCTAAACCTCTCTATTTCCCCCTCAATTCCATTTGTTTGAAATGAACAGTGCACTTTAGTTGCAGTCACTTGCACTGCTCTAGACACACTACACATCCCACAGTCCATATTCCATTTTGTAAGCAAGCAAGAGAGGGTGGCTGCATTCCTACATACAGTGACATGGAAAACTAACAAAGACATTTAACAGGAAGTCAGATAACAGCAGCAAAATACAAAAGGGAGTTTGGAGATTTGGAGGAGACAAAGAGCAATAGAATGAACTTTTCTGAGGAAGGAATACATAGTTGAATAGATGCTTTAAAAAAAACCAAAAAAACGGTATAGGGTCAATTTAATATGGCCATAGATGTTACAATCTGTTTCTGTAAAATATTCTTTAAGATTTACTGAAAGCCGTTTCATATTAGATCCTACCTAAACAATTATTTTAATCTGTATCCAATCAGGCAAGATGTTGCACTACATTGTTCTTAGAATATTTAAATGTGATTATACAATGAGAACCTCTATGTAAGCAGACAACACATGGTACAATTTAATTTCCATTTTCAGTTTCTGTACAATCTCCCTGATATTTACTAAGGACTATAACGTTAATGTAAATAATGAATATCCAATAAAGTATTGCCCTTGCTCTGCATATTAGTCTTCTGATTAGAGATTGGCAGTTCCTCTCTCTAGCCCTATATAGCTTGCTGTAAGTACATTGCCCTTACTTTATTGGTGAGCACAGTAAACCAGTAAATGCATTGGCTTTAGTAAGCCAGTCACATACCTTGTAAATTGTATAGACAAGCTTTTTCTAATGTTGTTTACAAAATATAAAAAATTAGCAATAGATACCCTTTAAAAAGTTAATTTGTTTTAAAAGTGCAGTTATCCTTTAATAAAGGTTAATTTTAAAAAATACTATAATTATGTCAAATTTTAAATATTATAATTATATCAATGTGTCAATGTACATGTTTTTTATGGGGTTTTAAGCTTTCCAGGATCCACTTAAAAGGTATCAAACAAAGCCACACATTCACAAGGGATACAACTCATTCCAGCATTGCTTGCAATAATCATGCCATGTTGGGATTAATATCTAAGCAGCAGCAAACACCTGTAAAAATACATCACTACTTAATAAAGGTTTCCTAATATAAATTGCAGCAGCCTATATTAACCAATTAGATTTCATTCACTAATGTCATACAGTACACAATTCTGATTTGTTTCTCTAGGTCAGGGGTCTCCAAACGTTTGAAACAAAGGGCCAGTTTACTGCCCTTCAAACTTTAGGGGGGCCAGATTGTGGCCAGTGGGAGCAGAAAATGCCTGGGCATCAGTGGGAGTAAACCATACCCTAGGCTTTGTGGTCAGCGGGAGGAACAGTGCCCCATCATTGGTGTCAGTGTAATAATTAGTTCCCCATTTCTGGTATCAGTGGGAAGAACAGTGCCCCGTTGCTGGTGTCAGTGGGAGGAACAGTGCCCTGTCGCTGGTGTCAGTAGGAGGAACAGTGCCCTGTCGCTGGTGTCAGTGGGAGGAACAGTACCCTGTCGCTGGTGTCAGTTGGAGGAACAGTGCCCTGTTGCTGGTGTCAGTGGGAGGAACAGTGCCCTGTCGCTGGTGCCAGTGGGAGGAACAGTGCCCTGTCGCTGGTGCCAGTGGGAGGAACAGTGCCCTGTCGCTGGTGCCAGTGGGAGGAACAGTGCCCTGTCGCTGGTGCCAGTGGGAGGAACAGTGCCCTGTCGCTGGTGCTGTTGCTGGTGTCAGTGGGAGGAATAGTGCCCTGTTGCTGGTGTCAGTGTGAGGAACAGTGTGTCATGTCACTGGTATCAGTGGGAGGAACAGTGCCCTGTCGCTGCTGTCAGTGGGAGGAACAGTGCCCTGTCGCTGGTGCTGTTGCTGGTGTCAGTGGGAGGAATAGTGCCCTGTCGCTGGTGTCAGTGTGAGGAACAGAGTCCTGTTGCTGGTGTCAGTGGGAGGAACAGTGCCCTGTTGCTGGTGCCAGTGGGAGGAACAGTGCCCTGTCGCTGCTGTCAGTGGGAGGAACAGTGCCCTGTCGCTGGTGTTGTTGCTTGTTGTCAGTGGGAGGAATAGTGCCGTGTTGCTGGTGTCAGTGGGAGGAACAGGGTCCTGTTGCTGGTGTCAGTGGGAGGAACAGTGCCCTGTTGCTGGTGCCAGTGGGAGGAACAGTGCCCTGTCACTGGTGTCAGTGGGAGGAATAGTACCCTGTCGCTGGTGTCAGTGGGAGGAACAGTGCCCTGTCGCTGGTGCTGTTGCTGGTATCAGTGGGAGGAACAGTGCCCTGTTGCTGGTGTCAGTGGGAGGAACAGTGCCCTGTCGCTGGTGCTGTTGCTGGTGTCAGTGGGAGGAATAGTGCTCTGTCGCTGGTGTCAGTGTGAGGAACAGTGTCCTGTCGCTGGTATCAGTGGGAGGAACAGTGCCCTGTCGCTGGTGTCAGTGGGAGGAACAGTGCCCTGTCGCTGGTGCCAGTGGGAGGAACAGTGCCCTGTCACTGGTGCTGTTACTGGTGTCAGTGGGAGGAATAGTGCCATGTCGCTGGTGTCAGTGTGAGGAACAGTATCCTGTCGCTGGTATCAGTGGGAGGAACAGTGCCCTGTCGCTGCTGTCAGTGGGAAGAACAGTGCCCTGTCGCTGGTGCTGTTGCTGGTATCAGTGGGAA